GAAAGAAAGTGCAAAAAAAAAAAAAAAGAAAGAAAAGAAAAAAAAGGCATGCAATTTTCTGCTTCCAAGAACCAAAAATAAATAAATAAATTTAACAGAACAAGGAAGGAAAAGGAGACAGTCAACCATTTCACCTTGTGCTGGGTTTGTCAAGACATAGGACTCAAGGCAATGGGGGAGGAAGGACTTTGGATGGGCACAACTCTCAGAGGAGTGATCTGTTTATTGGTCAAGAGTTAAAATGAGCTCCAAATAGACATGTGAGTTCCAAAAGGCATTGCAGAATGGATCAATAGAAGATGAAATTATCATTCCTTTGGTAACCTTTTGACTTCAATCTTTCTTATGGTGTTTTCTTTACGAGGGCCCTGTTTCTTTCCTGTGCATTCTAACATCATCATACACAAACCACTTACCATGAATGGCCATAACCAAACTCTTGAAACTGATGCCATTGAGAAAAGCAAAGAGCCCAACACCCCTTGCTACCTTTGCAATGAAAATGCAAGTAAACAAATGGAAGGAAGATATCTTGGGAAATTCACATGGAACTTGCATTTACCTCCTTACTCTCCATCCTCTAGTGACTGAATTGTAAATGCCAAAAGAAGAAACCTGTCAGGTTGGTGAGAGAATAATTAAATAGTTTATCGATTTATCTGGATGTAGCTGAACTGAGATTTGTGAACATTAACTCATACTTTATCTGTCTTTCTTTCGGTGCCTAGCATTGAGCTAAGCACTCCCAAGGTACTGAATAAATGGGAAGGAATTAAGTCATTTAGAAAACTGGAGTACCTGCTCCCAGTTGAGGTGTACCTAACTGTATGCTATGAAAATAGTCTTTCTCCCAAGAAAGAGGTTCACTTTCCCTAAAGTATGGAGACAGTATTACCTATAATCATTTTCCAAAATGTGACTCAAGCCCCAAAGGCTTAACTATATTATTTTTTTCCCGAGATTTCTAGTATAAAAGGACAAATGAGTTAACCTTTGGAAATGAGTTAAGACCTGGATGGATATGTAGAAAGAGAGTTGATGGTTTGGTTACTGTAGGTAAAAGAAACAAAGACAAAAAACCACTCTAATTAAAAGTCTTAAAATTCTATAATATAAGTAAAACTTTTAAACAAATAGCTATTTTTATTTTGATATAACCTTGCACATTGCTAGTTATTAGAAATAAATTGATAGCTACCAATATGAACTGCTTATGTGACTACACATTTTTTTTGGACCTGTCATTGTTTGATTTTGTTCATAAGATTTTCTTTTCAAAGGAAAATTGCCAAATGGGAGGTAAAAGGTTCACTTACAGTGACAGGAACTCTTATGTATTATATTATTCATCTTTGTAATAATTAAGTAGTTCTTACATGAAATATTGCTTTCTTAAAAAGAATGCAAAACTTACTAAATGTCTTATTATTTTTCCCTTTTCTTTGATATTCTCTGAATCTAGGCTTTGCTTCACAAATTTTGTCTGTGTAGTTCATAAACCATTTGCTCAAGGTTTGGGCATAGAGTAATTACTTCTGCATATAAATTGGTTTTATCTGAACATTACAGTATGCCTTGACTTTTATGATTTTCTATGTGTGAAATTTACCACAATGAATATATAGGTCTTCGCAACAAGCAACAAACTACTTAAAATCATGCGAAACCAATTCTTTGAAAGAGTTTATTAAGTAAAACTAATTTTAGTTCTTAAATAGATAATGTTCTGTCATATTATGATGTTAGATTGTTTTCTGTATTATATTTTCATAATATGTGTATGTATTATGCATGTGTGTATGTATGTGTGTGTGTGTTTGTATGTGTGTGTGTGTATGTGTGTGTGTGTTTCCCTAACTTATCTTACTAGGAGGCAGAGAACATGTAAGGAAAATGTCTAAAAGGACTTAGACATGGAATCATAAAATTGTACATAGAGAAGTTGTCATTTTAGCCAACATCCATATTTCACAGAGGAAAAAATGGGCTGTTGTTAAATGATTTGTCCAAGTCACATATAACGATAGAAATCTTTTCTAATTGGTTAAAAGTCACTATCTCTGACTGAATATTAATGACAATCAGAATCCTAAATTTCACAAAATATAGCAAGGTAATTCTATACTCTTCTTAAGTATTATTAGTTTACCTAATGATAAATCTGAAGTATAAGAATGTCATTTGACATCAGAAAGAACATGTATCTACTTATGGGAATTTTTAAAAGAGAGACAATGCATGGATCAAAAGCTGGGATCCCTTCTACTAGCCTGGCATTGAAAACTATGCAAATTGTTGTCTGTAGGAACCTATAGAAAAACCCATTGTTAAGTGGCCTACCTAACAGTGTTACCATTGCTTGCTTCTTCACTTTCTGAAGGATAACAGAAGCCTCTGTTCTGCATTTCTACCCTTGCCCTCAGACGCAGAGTATAAGAGAGTGGTGTCTCTTTACCTCTGGCTTGGTAGCATGCCCACCTCAGCCTGAGGTGCAGACATGCTAGAGACGTGGCTGGAGAATCGCCTCCTTCCAATGGTGCTCAGGAGGTAAGCTTCTTGTTCACTTACCACACTGGGCATGCTTACAGAGTCATCTGAAAGACACAAAGGAATAGAGTGTTATAAAAATGAGATCACCAAGCAGTAAACCCCAATCACAGCTGTACTTGAGTTCCATCCTGGTCTTATCCTTGATATATAGCTTTAGGGCTATTTCTAAAACTAAATTATCATTGATCCCTTCGTACAGATGTTTCACATAAAACGACCTTCATGATAATAAATGTAAATTTCTTATCCATCTTTACAACCAGATTATTTGTGAAAGTCAACAGGCATCTAAAGATTAAAGATTGTAAAAAAGCTAAAGCATACAATTTTAAAAACATTCCTGTAATCATTCAATAAGGGATTATATTATTGGATGAGTCAAGTCATTTCCTTGACTTTCAAAAACTGCATTCAGTACAGTTCATGAATCCTAGTCTACTGAGGGAAAGACTATTTTAGATATATTTTAGAAATATTTGAAAAACCATAAAGTTCATGGAACTAGCAGTTAGTGTAATGGCTATGTCGCTGGACTCCCACGTAGTCGACCGCGGTTCGTGTCCCAGACCTGGTGGCTTAAAACTCATGCCGGCTGCGTGTGTGTGCATGCCCAAGATCCCGAGAGGAGAATGGAGGAGAAGGGATTGTGGCATGGTCATCCCCCCTGGGGGGTGATTTCTCTCTTTCTGTCTCTATGTCTCTGTCTGGCGAGCACACGCGCCCTATAGCGAAAAACCTCTCCAAAAAACAAAAAACAAACCAAAAAACCCCGTAAAGTTCAGAAGTAAATGCTTATCTTAACCTAAATTTCAAAATTTAGTTATGTGATTTTGTTTTCTCCAGAGAAGTAAAATTAGTGCACTCAAATTCTTGTGAAAGTCAACCTTAGCACATTATTTGTTCCAAGTAGCCTCATTCTAATATTGTTTGCTGTTGAACATTAAACATGCTTCAGTAAAAATATTGGGTTTTAGCAAAGATGTGCTACCATATAAAATCATCTGGCACTATTTATTTAAAATAACCCAGGTAATAATATGTTGTTTTTTTTTTTACTTGCTAGAGGCTATATGTGCTTGCCAGTGAGAGACAGAAAGACAGAGGGAGGGAGAGAAAGCATCCTCTAATGTGCCATGGTAACACCTCAGTCTTTCTTCCTCCATTTCTCTGTCCTTTCAAAATTTTGGGTGCACATATGTACCCAGTGTATTTCTCAAGCTACTGGAGCCAGAATCCAAACATCAGTCAGCCACATAGAATATGGCTACCTCAATCAGTATGCTATGCAGCCAGTCCCCCAGGTGACCATATTTTTAATTAAACTTATTTCAAGTAAAAAAAAAAAAAGTGGTTATGGGGGCTAGCAGGTGGCATAGTGGTTATGGTGCTGGACTCCCACATGGCTGACTGTGGTTTGAGTCCTGGATATGGCAGCTTGAAATTCACACCAGGCACGTGTACATGCATGCCCAAAACCCCAAGAGGAGAATGGAGGAAAAGGGATTGCAGCATGATCATTCCTCCTGGCAGGGGAAGGGGTGATTTTTTTCACCTTCCCTCTCATTGTTTCTCATTGCCATGTTCCCTATGGCAAAAACCTTTTTTTTTTTTTTTTTTTTTTTTTTTTTTAAAAAAAGGTGAATAGGAAAAGTACTAATGACCTAGTCACAGTAGTACATGCTGATGGATACTGCTACTTAGCAGGGCCCCAAGAAAGGGATGAGTTTGTTTCTAGCCCACCCTAAAAGCTGAGTTTGGTGACTTGCAAACTGTAGTCCCAGTTACTCTAGAGGTTAAGGCAGGAGGATTGTAACATAGCAAGAATGTGTCAAATAAGTAAATAAAGTGCTAGAAATTTTAGTTTGCTATATGTTGATTGACTTGAAATTTACTCTTGCTATAGCATGAATGATATGCCATTTTTCTGTATGTTCACAAAGAGACTGAGCAAATGTGCCTTAAAAATGTAAAAAACATTGTAGGGTAGATTGAGCTATTTCTTTTCTTTTTCTTTTTCTTTTTGGTGAGGTTTTTGCTACAGGGTGTGTGCGCTCACCAGACAGACAGACAGACAGAGAGACAGAAAGCGAGACATCACCCCCTAGGAGGGATGGCCCTGCCGCAGTCCCTTTACCTCCATTCTCCTCTCGAGATCCTGGGCATGCATGCACATGCGCCTGGAGTGAGTTTCAAGCCACCAGGTCCGGGACACGAACCACGGTCGACTACATGGGAGTCCAGTGACACAGCCATTACGCTAACTGCTAGTCCCCGATTGAGCTATTTCTACAAAGGCCTTTCAATGATCTCATTGATTTTTCCCAATTGTTCAAACTCGTACATCACTCAGCACCTAATTCCCCAGTATTTGTTTGGTGGAAGAAGATTACATGAGTGCACATTTCCCCTGCCTCATTAGTATCTGAATGTTAGGAGGAGAATGGAGGAGAAGGAATTGCGGCATCTGGGGGATGATTTCTAACTTTCCCTCTCACTGTATCTGTCTCTCTGGTGAGCACATGCAGCTGAAAACAAAAACCTTCAAAAAAGAAAGAAAACCATGTCATGTACATGTGTGCACATGCCTAAAATCCTCCGAGGAGAATGGAGGAGAGGGAATTGTGGCATGGCCATTCCCCTGGGGAGTGCTTTCTCATTACTTTCTTTCTCATGCATGTACCCTATAGCAAAAAAAAAAAAAAAAAAAAAAGAAAGAAAGAAAGAAAAAATAGGTAGTATTATTTCCCATCAAATAAAAATGCTGGGACAAACTATTCAAGCATTATAGAAAAATGGATTTGACTTTAAGTGCTGAACAGTTACTAGGACTCAGTGGATATTTACACAACTGATCCTTGTCTTTCTCATTTGGTTTTTCTTTGTCAAGATTTTTCAAGGTTGCTCTAATTGTGATTTTAGGTGTATTTCCATGAACAGTCACCAGGGTGATTTAGATCCATGCATGGCTATAGGTACGTTCAGGAAATTATGCTTATCACCTTATCTCACTAACCCTGAACTATTACTGGAAATATTACTGATAGGTGTTTTGACAAAGCATTTATTACTTTTCCTCTCCTACACACCAAACTAAAGTGGGACATTAAAATACTTGGCTTCATCTTAGTTGATTAATATTCTAACCTCAACTCCCATTTCCTCTACCTAATTTAGTTCAGAGTGAGCCTTGTTGTTTGGTATGGAGAAGCTTTTCTTGGGAAGTGGAGATCTACATTTTGTTGTCATTCTTAGGTCATTGACAGTACAACTTTGCTAAAATGTTCTATCAGATTGTCTTAAAATATAACTGGAAAGTATCAAGGCAATTTAGAAATTTAATTTAATAACCACAACATTTTACTTTCCTCCCTTTACGTCTTAAAACCTATTCCTGTTAGGCATACATGTGAAGTGGTTTTTAAATGAATTTCCCCTCATCTGTTAACACCAAATCAAAGCAAATGTACTAGAAGCTCTTGGACTGACTTAATCACTGGGGAATCCTGTAACTCAAATTTGGGTTGTATCCCCTCAAGAAAGCCTGTTGGTTTACATACTGACTGGTACAGCCTACTGGTCTTTTCTGAGTCCTGAGCATATGCATTGACCAAGAGGGTCATGTAAGTGCTAATCAACCCTTTAACAAAGATGTCCAGGAAAAAGAGAATAAACTTTTCTCTTAGTTACTTATCCATCATTTAAATGAGACTTAGTAGAAAATGTTAACTATGTAAGCTCAAGAAACTTTAGGGGTCATTATAGATTTATTTTTTGCCTGAATTCTTTCCAAATGGCCATGTATACCCAGGAATTTATAAATAAGCAGGCATTAGAAATCAGTCCCAATTCCATCTTGGATCCTTTCAGGGGAATAGAACTGAGAAAGGCTGGAAGAGCAGAAATCCTGCTCAAGCCCTCACTCAGATGACCAAACTGCATCCCCCACCCAGAATCTTCAGGGTAACCTACTTTCCTCATCCTCCTCATCGGTCCGACTCAGGGTGTCCTGCGAAGCCTGTTGGGAGGGCTCACTGTCCTGCTCCCAGACAGTACCCGTGCCCGTGTTAGAGCGGGACATGGTGGCCAGGCTCAGGCGGTAAGCAGAAGTGGAGGTGCCCACAGTACTGATAGATGTCTTCCCTTGGTAGGCTGGAAGGAAGGAGAGATCAAAGGAAATGTTTGGTGAGAATCTTGAAAGAAGACAAGTGTTTACTTCAGACTCCTCCTTGACCATTTTTATCTTTATGGAAAGATAAGTTAAATACTGTGTCCTAGGCAAAAGATCTTTAGGATAAAGTAGCAAATGGAGGTAGGAATGTTGTTTTAAAATAACATCACCAGCAGAGTGACTCAGTGGAAGCGTACTAGGCCCATAAAAGTAGTATTGGCCACTGAAAAGTTGAATAGTTTTCCTGTGAAAACATAACATCTATAACAGTGTAAAATGCTGTGACATTGCTTCCTCTCTTATTGCTTTTCTATTTCATTTTTCAAGGCCAGTAGAGTACAAATTAATTTTTTTCCAGTTTTTACGGAGAAATTGCCCTTACCTGTCATGACATACAGATGTAATAAAGAAGTTGTCTGATATAGACCTTCAAATCAAAGTCAGAATACACAACCTAAGCTGTGTTCTCAGTCTCCTTTTCTAAAAATTACAACCTATAAAATGCCCTTGGTTCTATGTCAGATTATTTATTATAAAGCAGAATATCTGAATAGCAGTGTATAGAGTTTACCAAGATTGTACTTGTCAAAAATTTTGTCTTTAACATATCTGAAAACAAGAGTAAAGGCTCAAGGATGGAAAGGAGGAAGGAAAAAAGGAACAAAGGAAGGAAAGTAAGAAGGAAAGAAGGAACAAAGGAAAAGAAAAGCGAGAAGGAAAATGAATATAAACTGTAGTCTACCAATGGGTAATGAGTGCCCTCTAATGGCAGAGAATGAATTATTTTCCTCCTTTGGTAATCTGCTATTAATGTCACTGTAAAAAGTAAACAGTGTATGAGACCAGCAGTTGGCATAATGATTATGTCGCTGGACTCCCATATAGTTAACCGAACTCGGTTGGAGTCCCAGACCCGGTGGCTTAAACTCACACTGTGCACATGTGTGTGCATGCCCAAGATCCAGAGAGGAGAATGGAGGAGACGGGATTGTGACATGGCCATCCCCCCTGGGGGGTGATTTCTGGCTTTCTGTCTCTTTGTCTCTCTCTGTCTTTCTGGCGAGCGCATGCGCCCTGTAGCAACCCCCCCCCCCCAAAAAAAATGAACAGTGTAGTCCCAAATAAAACCTTTCGAGGGACCAGCAAATGATGTATGTTGGTGGGCTCCCATGTGGTTGACCACGGTTCGAGTCCTGGACCTGGCAGCTTATAACTCAGGAGGGGCATGTGTGCCCAAAATTCTGAGAGGAGAATGGAGGAGAAGAGATTGTGGCATGGCCATTCTCTGCTGGTGGGTGATTTTTTGCTTACTGTCTCTCTGTCTCTCCCTGTCTCTCCGGTGAATGCTCACACCTTATACTAAAAATCTCTCTAAAGAAAAAAGAAATCCTTGGAATAAAGGAAGTACCTCCTAGCCCTGCCAACTCTAATTTAACTCTCCTCATTCCAATTTGTTAAAAGTTAAAGGCTCTGTAATTAATCATCCAGACCTGGTTTAAAAATCCCCTATTCTCACTATCTATCAATATGTATGTAAGTTATTTAACCCCTACTGAGTTTTGGTTTCCTCATTCTTTAAGTGGATTTTCATTTATACAGCTTTTAGTGTGGATTAAAGGAAAAAAATGTCTGTGAAATAATCTACCATATAATAGGTGCCCAATAAATGTGACTCTCCCTTCTTTTTTTTTTTTCCAAAAGGAAATGAAGGCAAGAATGTAAGCAGTTTATTTACCCTAATTAAATACACAAGAAAGAGCAGAACTATTACAATGAATATTGAAAGCTGAGATCTAGTGATTTCAGAGATAAGAGCAATGAAGATGTTCTGCTGAGAATTTACCCTGGTAGAGCCCCAAAGAAAAACACAATGCCAAAGAATTTGCAGACCACATCCTCCTGTGTGCCTCTGATCACTCAGATTGATATTCTAGAAATTAGGAAGAAACAACCCATCAAATTACTAGAAAGCACTGCAGAGGCACAAGAAATACATGAAACCAAGAAAATATGTCACCCCCAAGGGAAAAGAATAACTCCTCTTCATCCACGGACAGTACAATGGAATTCATGGAAATGTCTGATAAAGAATTTAGAGTCTTCATAGTGTCAAAACTAACAGAGAGGGAAGAGAAGATGAACACTAGAAGAAAATGGCCAATGAGTTCCAGGAGGTGAGGAAGTTCTTGCGAAAGTTGAAAGAGGAAATACACACCATAAAAAAAAAAAAATCAAATGGAATGGAGCTGTTAGAGGTGATGGCTGTAATACAAGAAATCAAACCTCCCTTGAAAGTATTAAAAGCAGATTAGATCATGCAGAAGATTGAACCTCAGATGTAGAAGACAGAACCACTGACCTAGAAAAATCGACCAAAAAGACTGAGGAAATAACACCAAAAAATGAGAGTAATATTGAAAATGGTCCCCCAAAATGAGAATAATGTACAAGAAATACTAGATACTATTAAACATCCAAACATCTGGATAATCAGTATCCCAGAAGGTGAAGAGACTAATAAGGACATTGACAATCTATTCTGTGAAATCCTGGAGGAAAACTTCCCAAGCCTAGAGAGGCATTCAAAGATCCAGCCAAACGCAAGAAATACAAAGGACTCCAAATAGGATCAAAAGAAGCTCTCCAAGACACATAATAGCCAGAATAACCAAAACCACAGAACAAAGACGTGATACTCAGACTGACAAGAGAGAAATATCAAGTTACCTACAAAGGATATCCTATCAGGCTAATAGCAGACCTCTCTCATCGGAACAATGCAAGCAAGGAAAGAATGGGAAAATATATTCAAAGTGTTGAGTGGAAAACAATTCAGCCAAGAATACTATATCTAGCAAGATTATCCTTCATAAGGGAAGAGAAGACAAGTACATTTTCAGATAAACAAAACCTGAAAGAATTTACCAACACCAGACCAGTTCTCCAAGAAGTTCTGAAGGAAGTGCTATCTCAGGAAAGCTAAAGTCAGACACACAGAAATAAGAGTTCTAAAACAACTAAGAAAATGGCCAGCTTAATGGTAGGGACAAGTCCAGAGTTGAACATTATCTTCCAGAATTTAAACAGAAAGATCGGACCACAGTAGAAGATAAAGAACATGAGTTCGAAGTGGTGAAATAGAATTTTATGACTTTTATGACTTTTGTCTATGCTTTGTTTTCCAGTGTTAAGGAGTTTTGTCTTCTCTTGAGCTGTGGACAGGTCCATGTACTTACTATTTGAACAGAATCCGTAACCTGTTTCCTGGCTTTAAGTATTAAGCAAAGTTCTCTTAAAATTTTTTAAAATTTTGATTTATTAAAGCTAAAACTGCCTTTCTTGAAATTAAAAAAAAATATTTAAAAAATACATTTAGTAACCACAGTAAGCTATATAGCCTCGGCTATGTGCTATTTTATGGTATATTCATTCTACCCACAGAGTTTCATGCCTAAAGTCAACTTTTGTTCACAAATATGTATATATCAGCAGAATTTACTATTGAAAATATTCAGATTAATTAAGATATTTTGTGAATCAATACAATGTGGGAAAGATAAAGGAATGGAAAACAGCTGCAGAAACGAGATACAGGGTGGGGGGAGGATAAGAAATGGCAGAGGGTGAGAAATAGGGGGAATATATATATTTATAAGAAACGAAAAATGGAATATTATTTTTTGACAATAACATGTATGATTAAGCCATTTTACAGTGTATTATGGCTTAAAAAATCACATTTTGTATGCTATGGTGATGCCCACTGAAAGTATGTAAAATAATTAATAAAAACATAAAAATAAAAATAAAAAAGAATATTGACAAAAATATTTAGCAAAGGAATTAAATTCAACTCTTATGATAGTCCTTTGATTTCTGTTTTGTTGTTGACAATAATCATATGGTCAAACCTACCACTATACCAGAATGGCCAACTCAAACATAATTCCAAAACCAGCAGTGACCTTGGCAGAGGGATTCTCTGTAGTTTATGAATTTCATTAATCCAAGCAATTTGAAATACCCCCATGCACACTCACCTGATCCACTGTGAACTGCCTCTTTTAGAATTTTTAGTTCACTGTTGAACTCAGCAATGAGTGAGCTCTTACACAAAGGGCGTGGAATGAAGCGCCGCTCCAGCTGGTCAGCAATGTGTTGCCTGGCAGAAAGCTCTTCATGGTTCTCTGCTGGCTGGGCCAAAAGCTACAAGAAAGGCATAGCATTCTCAGGGCTTCAATTTTCCCACATGCAACATGGACTCATTATTGTACCTACTCAATCGTCAGTTGTGAGGAGTAAATAGATAATACATGTGACATTTTAGCATGGTGGTTTATACAGGAAGTACCTAATAAATAATTTGAGTCATTACTCTCAGAAATCAGGGCATAAAAAGGACGAAGAAATGGAAGAGTACTGAAGGTCTTAGAAAGAAAACATGCTTTAAGTATCTCATATTTTTCATGTGTATTTAAAATCAGATTAGTCATACCACTGGAACAGGAGAACATTCTCTAGACCATTCCATTGGACCATTCTTTTCTTTTGTAGAGATTGGAAAGTGATGAGGGGAGAGGGCAAAATTTCGTAAATTTTAATGAAGCACACTGTAAAGGTGCTTCTAACATGAAATTTTATGTTCTGAAATACTTTTTGGGGCTGTGTTCTTATCAAGCATGATATTAATAGGCCCTATTAACTGGATACAGCACACATAACTATAATCCTGCCTTCATGGAGAACAGTACATTCATGGGGGGTTGTGGCCTCCAGGAGAAGCACACACCACACCTTGCACTGGATGAAGGGGCGCAAGAGCACGAAGATGGGTATTCGGGTCCGTACGATGAAGTCGAGGAAGTCCCACAGGGCCAGGCCTCCCACCTTCCGCAGAGCCATCTCCTTCACCTGGAGGCTCAGCCAGTACCACTGGCTTCCCAGTTGCCTCTCAAAGCAGACGAGGATCACCTTCAGTGCTTCACACCGGGAAGAGAGAAAAGTGAGCCTGCAGACTTACGCTTTGGAGAAACTCCATCCACAACCACAGCCTTTTATACATCAGCAAATTTTCTGAATTTCTAAATTCTCTGTTTCCAAAACCTTAACATGCACTTCTGAGCAAGAGCGTTTTAGACACAAAAACAAAAATTTGTATGGTAAACGTATTTCGATTCTCCTAAGAAGAACAACATCATTTTAGGTGTATCTCAGTACTATTTTGGAAAATATAGAGCAATATCATCCATAGAATTGAAAGAGAAATGTTTTACAAAGATGATACATGGCTAACATTTTACTTTGCAGAACGTTTCCTCATAGTGGATTTATGGTAATACCTACATATCACATATATCCTCAGCCAAAACATAAATGTTTTACATATTTTACATATATTTCCTTTCTTAAAAGCATAGAAACACTCATTTAAAAACAAAATACAAAAACCAGGGTCCAGAGGGTGGCTGGTGTTTAAGGCTCCCACATGGCTGAGACCTACGGCCTTGAAAATCATGCTAAATGTGTGTGTGTATGTCTGCACACCCCCAAAATCCCGAGAGGAGTCTAGAGGAGAAGAGATTGCTCTATGGCTACTCCCCTGGTGGTGATTTCTCACTTTTCTTCTCTCTGTCTCTCTTTGGTGAGTGCATGTGTCCTATGTCAAAAAAAAAATAAAACCATGAAGTGTGTGAAGTGAGAAAAAGTAAATCTTTTCTTTTCCCTGTCCCCTTCCCAATCTCACTCTAACTCACTCCACCCAAGTTGTGCAACTGAGTGTCCATGTGTATTATCATAGATGGAGTCTAGATCTGATAACAGTTATCCAACCTCAGTAGTGTTTCTTATATTTAATCAACAAGGGTCAATCCTTTTTTTTTGGAGAGATTTTTTTGCTATAGGGTGTAGGCACTCACCAGAGAGACAGAGACAGAGAGAAAGTGAGAAATCACTCCCCCAGGGGGATGGCCACACCATAATCCCTTCTCCTTCATTCTGCTATTGGAATTTTGTGTCTGCACACACATGTGCCCATTGTGAGTTTCAAGCCTCAGGACTCAAACTGTGTTCAGCCATGTGGAAGTCCAGTGCCTTAACCACTCATGCCACCTGCTGGTCCCACAAGAAGGAATCCTTATTGCAGATGCCTTCCTTACTTGCCAAGACATAAAAATGATCGAATCATTTAGACTCTGCAGATAGGAAATACTTTGTTTATTGGCTTATGTTTACTGAAGGAAACCAGACCATTTGACAAGGATAATGTTTCTTGTTTAAGTGGCTTCTTAAAATACTTTCTGGATTGGGTTCTCTCCAGATACTTTCTGTATTGAGGTGGAGCTTAACTAAGTACATCCATGTGTTTATATGCATACATACACATTGACACACACACAAGTACCCACCCAAGTATGCTGCTTGGCTGGTAGACTCCGCCAGCCCTTCCCTGCGCAAGTCTTTCCCTGCATCTCCAGGGGTGGAGCAGTGGGCAGGGGAGCTCTCCAACATGAAGTTCTTGCTCCTGGATGTGCTTATGATCCGCGGTGGCAGAAGCACATTAATGACCGTCTGCAGGAGCAGCTGTACCTCAGGCTGCTCCAGCCACGGGCTATCTGAGGGGCAGAGTTTGAAAGAGGGAAGTGGAAAGAAATGCAGTCACAAGGTAAACTTTCCATATTAAACATAAAAATTCAACTTTCTTTCCAGTTCCAAACTAGAATGCCCTAGAAATTTGAGTGTTTCCCACAAAGTGCAGCTTCTCCTATAGACAGAAACAGCGTTCCTGGCACCAGAGCAGTTGGTACCCAAGGGCTTGTGTTCTCAGTCAAGACTCCCGCTTACCATTTCAATCTCCTTTTTGCAAATACTCATAATGAACTGTCCTTATATTTGAGATAACTTTTCCTAAAAGAAAAATCACCTAAGAAGGAAAAGTAATGAAAACACATTGGAATTGAATGATAGTGATAGAATTTCTGCCAAACCCAGTGACAGTAGGTTACAAAGTCCATTGCTCTGGCTATTCTCATCATATTGTGTCTCAACTAATACCATTTTATTCATTGAATTGAAGCAGTGTTCTCCTGATTTTTTTGGTACTGAAATGATTTTAGATAGGCTGTTTCTTCTAAAAAGTAGAGAAGAGAACCTCTTATCCCAGGGTAGCTAAACTGAAAAGAGAGAAGAGTTCTTAGTTCTTATTTCTTAAGGTTGCCCTATGTAAATCATTCAGAACAACTTCAGTGAGGGCCTTCTTGAGAAAAGGAAAAAGAAATAACAGCCTGACACATAACAAAACCACAACAACAGTGATAAATGTCCTTTAGTTAAATTAATCAGACCTTTGCTTCCAGATCCTACTGTGAGCACAAATGGGATGAGTAGATTTAAAAGCATCCCCTCCCTTCGCTCTTGATTGGTGAATGGGGAGATCACATGACTTAAAGGAAAATCTTCTTTTAATGCCTGTGCAGCAATAATAGAAAAAAAGATTAATTGACCATCATATCCAGTTAGTATGTTTGTTTTTATACAGATGGTGACTCCCTGCTGGCTGCTCCTGTAAACTATGAGTTCAGTTGTGTTCTGTGTAGCACACAGGAGTCACTAAACACTGATACTTTACCATTTGCTTGACACAACTCAGACCTATATGCCTAAAAAAACAATAACATCTTAAATATTAAGTGAAAACTTATGATACTTATGGTCAGATACAAAAACATCCTTGTGTCCCCATTCATTTCCTCCATGTGTCCATCAGTAAATATTTTAGAGATGAAGGAAAAGGAAGAAAATTAGAACTTGCCACTTGTTCCATTTGGAAATTATTTAAAAGTCCTCTGATCCCTGCCTAAGACCTTCTCCAAGCCAGGAAGCAATAAGCACTATAAAAAAAAAAAGTGATCTTTGTACACAGGTTATTCAATGTATCACTTTAGGGATATTATTTTTCTTTTGTACATGGTAGCCCCAGTTCTTCTCTACCATTTATTCATTCTCTGGATGATGTACCATCAAGCGTGGTTGTCAGATAATTATCAGGTCAGTTATTCATTAATATAAATCATATACTTTCCATTGATTAAGAGCTTTCTAAATGATTTATTGCTCTCTAAAATGGAATGACACCCAGAAATAGGCAGGGGAACTGGAATTCTGCACTTTTTGCTTTGGGGATGGTTATTATAATTTTCAGAAAGTCAGTGGGAGAATTAAAAAAACATACTCACAGTATTCAACCCACAATCATTAAAGAAAATGAAGATATTCAAAGCCTAGTAATAACATCTGAAAGAATTGTATATTTAAATTCTTTCTGAAAATAACTTAAAACCAGACTGTGAATATTACTGCCTCTTTTAATTAATAATTGTGAGCTGATTACCAGTGAACCATTAATTTGCACACACTTTAAAGACTGAAAATCTTGGCGCATATTTTAAATAACCAAAGTGGTTCCTGAGGTTGTGGCAGGACTGAATGACTCTGCTATTTTTGAGATCTCAAGAAGAATTACAGAAGCACAACTTAGGGCCAAGCTCAGGGCTGACGCTCCAAACCTGTAAGTTTGGAGATGTTTACATTTTGTTTCACAGATTTTGCCCAGCCTTTGCAGAAAACAAACAAGAGGACACCATGATCTGGTGCCTCAACCAGCAACTTAATGAGCGTGACAAACAGGTAAGGCAGTCACACCTGTATCTGCAATGCTACAAGCCGGACAACAGCTGTGCTGAAGGGCAGAGGTGGTGAGAGATAAGGGCTGAGATGAAGAAGGGGTAATCCATCAGCAACACTGGAAGGTCCTACCACTCCCATCACCTGAAATACAAACAGAGCACATGACCAGCCTTGACTATTGCAACTTCATGCAACTGTAGTAAAGGAGTCTCATTCAATAATAATAATAAAAATTGAAGGTTGGGCATGTTACTTTGAATCTTTTCTTTCTTTTGCCTCATTCTGAAAGCATTTAATGTCTGGAGTCAGATCAAATATAATACTGGATTCAGCCAAGGTTTTGTAGAATGTTCTTTGCAGCTAACTATGTAAATAATGGAGGATGAACTGAAAAGCTCTTCTAATCAGGAGATTGGACACTTACTTGTGGATCTGAAGGAATGCAGTCAACAGCCTTTGATGGAGCAAATACTGACAGTAATGATGATGGCAACAGCTCTATTGCACTAGGCATTCCGACTACAGGTTTATTGCTCAACTAGTTAAGCAGCAGATCCTGTTCAATGAAATGCTCTAACGTGGTTTCTACACATTGTACAAAACCTTGTCATGACCCGACTCTAGATATTACATAAATGACATAAAAATTTTTATTTCTTAACATAAATGCTAGACTGGCCAACTGATAGTGTCATGTTGCACTATAAAAGAAAAAAACAAAAAACTTCTTTGTTTTAAGTTCCCCCACCCCAGACTACCTCAACTTCTAGCCAATTGTGCATTCTCCACCACCCCACTCTCCAACTGGCAGCCCTCAACTCTCAGCGCAACTTGAAGAGGTGAATTGTCAAAGTAGTGCATGGGAAGCAGCACACTAAACTCCCATCTGTCTAGGGATGGGCCCCTGTATCTCCCCACGCACCACCTTGAAATGTACCTCACTATTTTCATTGTCACCTGAGCCATCTGTTTTCATAGGTAGGGGCACAAAGTGGTTGACCTGTAAATCTTCAATTCAGAGAAGTCAAAAGCAGAGTTAAATTTTGCAAAGTTTCATAAGATTGCCACTTGGCTACTCACCAGATTGACACAGACATTGATCAGTGACCTAAGGTGAGGCAGGAAGGATATGATTGGCTGCCTCTGAAGTGTCAAACAAACCCCTTCAATCAAATTGCTGGCAGGCTCCCACTCAACCTGTCGCCTGGAATACAATATAGGAGCCATTAGCAGCTTGGCTCCCTTCTGGAGACAGTCTGAAACAAGTGAATGAGACAGTGATCCTGATGCCATCTAAGACAGCATGTGTGTCTGAGACAACAAAGTGCTTCACACAGGATGAAATTTACCCAGGTTGTTCCAAAAGTACAGAGCATACTGGGAGGGGAAGAAGATACTGAACGTAGCAGAGGCACTCCTGCCCCACTCGACTAATGAGACAGAATCTATTAAAGAAAAAACAGAAATGATGAATGGATTGCATTTTAAGTTCTCTGGTTTTAGTTGTGAGAATGGGTCCCAATACTACTATTCTAAGAGCACCATCATGGGAGTAATTATGACCAATAGAACTAACCTGACCCCAGCTGTATTTCTCAGATCTATTTATCAGACTATACATGATCCCACTGGTTTTTATACTAAATGACAACTAATTGGAATTATATGGCATAACTCCTGCCCAAAAGATCACATTAGAAAAAAAAAAAAAGGCTATTTAAAAAGTATTCTTTCTTGGCTTGCCACTAAATGATATTTTTTAGCTACTTCCTATGGTAGTATAAACCATGGTATGTAACCCAATTTGGACATAGAATTTTCTGTAATAAAGGCAAATCTAGACTGTTATTGTTCCAATACTAAAAGGTTTGCCCTTGTGGCCGCAAATGAAATAGGTTGGGGTTTGCTAATATCAACACTATTTACATAAGTATATTTTCTAAGCTTACATTTTTTACCAAAATGGTATCTCTACAACAACAAAATGGGAATGTAAGGGCCAGCAGGTGGTGTAGTGGTTAAGGTGCTAGACTCCTCCCACATGGTCAATTGCGGTTTGAGTTCTGACTTGAAATGATGCCAGGCATATGTGTGTGCATGTCCAAAATCCCTAGAGGAGACTGGAAGAGAAGGCACTGTGGCAAGGCCATTCCCCTGGGGGCGGGGCAGGGGGATTGCTCATTTTTCCTGTCTTTCCACTAAGCGAACGTGCCCTATTGGGGGGGGGGGGGAAACCCAAAACTCCTTT